AGAAAAAACAGGGTAGAAAAAGACTGTGAGGGGTACCCCTACCCTAAACTTCCTGAACTGTTCAGATTTATAGGAGGATGAAAATTTCTTTCAAAATAAAAAGATAAAATGAAGCTTGTCTTAACTTTGCAATAGGTAATGTTTTAAAGAATCAGATTTAAATTATGCTACCTAACATATCGAAAATTTCTACTAGGAGTACAATATTGCAATACATAAAATAAAAAGCCACGTCCACTTCACTGAATCACAACCCAGCATGCCCAAACATTTTAAAATTGCAAGGCATTTAAATTGCAAAGCAAAAATTGCATGGAAAGAGAAAAGAGCATTCGTCAAGCCACAATTTCATTTCAGGTTGTCAATACAGCTACTGTTGGTAATCTTGGATGACTAATGTGAGAAACTAGATAACCCAGCACCCCACCCTCTTCCCACAATCTGTAACTTACCTTATATTTTCATAATAACATAGCATTTCTCACTGAATATTACCGTAGCAGATCATCATCAGTAACAGGTACAAACCTACTGAAAATATTTTAACATCCAACCATCTAAATATAATCTTAATTCTAGCCAAGGAAAGGAGAAAATATTTACTTTCTCCTGCAGTTTGAACTGCTGATCTGCACATAAAAAGCTTAGGTGCAACGCCTGACTGCTATGTCCAATATGAAGCTGAAAGTGAAAAAAAGAACTGCCTCAGTTCACTTGCAAAGGTCAAACAGCAAAAGAAAGGCATGGTTTTGCCTGTTTGACCACTGCTTTGCTTAGTTCCTCATTTGACTGTCCTCATTTGCAAGAGTATTTCACAATGCACTTGAGTAATAGTATGTCAGTTTAAAAAAAAAAAAAAATCAAACAGAAAAAGACCATATTATCTTTCTTTCAGGAAAATAGAACAGAAGCCTTTAAAAACCCCTCTGATTTGCACAGTAAGCAAATACCAGCTACAAAGAATTAAGGTTTTGTTTAGTACTAGGTTTCATGTTATACCCTTGGCATATATGAATGACAAGATCTTTAATTGAGCCAATACGATTGGTGAAACAGTCTGGCATCCTTACAAGTATTCCTTTTTGTTATATCTAAGTGCTGCATGACCTGGTAAGGTAACCCACTGGGCATGCAAAACCAAGACAATACATTCAGAGACCTCTCTGAAATCTAGCTTTATGTGAATGCTATATAAATTATAAATCAACTGTTGTGGACCCTAAGTGATGCTTAAATATCCATAATGCATTAGAGCTCTTGGTGCTTTAAACATGTTTGCATTAATAATAAAAGATATTTCAAAGATCATATTTAAGATTGAAGAAGCAAATGGGAGGGAAAGAATGCATTCCACTGACAACAGGCACAGTTTTGGAAAACCACAAGAAACAGATTAATAAGGCATCAGGCCTAGGCATTCCTATATCCAGCAGGCTGTGATGCACTATATTTCTGATTCCAACTCCAAAATGCTTTAGTCTAAGTTAGGTACAGAATCTGGGAAAAAATAGCTGAACAAACAATATTAATGCACTACGGTCTTTTTTTTAAAAATAAGTCCATCAAACTAATGACTGAGACTGAGCTATTGTTTTTATCCCCATTTTCAAACATCTCTCCTTATCCAGCTGCTTTCCTTTAAAGCAGCCTAAACATTTTGCAGAGCTACCTTCCAACTAAGCAAACTTCCTTTAGATACTGGTAGTATGTATATATAAAATAATGTTTATAAGCAGCAAGCTGAGCTGAGCAAAACAATTAATTATGTCAGCTAGTAAGCAAACTTCAAATTCTGCTCTGGTCTAATCAGTGCAGAACTGCTCAAGAAGGTAGTTTACTATTCACGGGAAGAAAAAAAAAAATAGACAAATACAGAAATAGTAGGCTGCAGAGACAGATTACATGCCTTCCTCCTCTGCTGGATATCTGATATAAGAAAGCCATCTAGTGTTAACTTTCAGAAGTGAAAATTGTGCACAAAAGAGCTCGGGAGAATTTACATGTGCAATTCGCTTTAACTTTGCATGTCTTCTACAACATAAAAAAGTAAAACCCGTTTCCTCTAGAAAAGCCAGGCTCAAAGCAACGATGTGTTAAAATAATCCAGCATCGAGTACTAAACCACTTTACTGACCTAATTCGTGAACATTAATATCCATACCTGAAATTTGTCAACTTCAGAGTTGCCTTTGTCGAGACTGCGTAACCCCACTCCCCCATCCTCACGGACATACGTACACACCCCACCTCAGCAAAGCGCTGCGGAGCGACACAGAAGAGGTACAGAGCCGGGAAAACAAAATCGAAAGCAAAGCCAATCTCAACTGGCTATCGTTTACCGAATCAAACACTAAGTTTGGAGAACGGACCACTGAACGCGCATCAGAGTACTAAGAGATAACAAAGAGTGCAAAAAGGATACAGGTTGCGCCTCGTACAGGGTAGCTCAATAAACAGCCTTAAAATCACTGCAGGGAACTGAAGGACCTTGCCCTCTGCTACCCCAAACGTTTGGCGGTCCCCACTGCAGCGTCTCCGCTCTGAAAAACCAGTTACACCCCAGAGACGCCCGAGCCCTGCAAACTTACTCCGGAATTGTCATTCTTCTTGAGATGGGCTCCAGAGCCCGGGGCGGCGCGGCGGGGCGCGGAGCCGCTACGGCCGCTGGCAGACCCGCCCTGCAGGTGCCTGCCGGCCCCACTGACACCCCCCC